CGGGCGAAGACTGACGCCTGCAGTCAAGTGCGTAGGGCAAAAACCAGCCGCCTGCAGCCTAGACTCCGGGATTAAACTGTCCGCGGTCGGCACACTCACTGTACTCACATGCCAGGAGACTTGGGAAGAGCAACGGGACAACGCGGCACCGCCAGTCGGAGGCAGGGACACGCACAGCACCGCCAGACCGTCTGCGCGCGGCAGCAGACCACGAGGAACGAGCAGCACAGAACCGCGGAGGGGCCCCGCGGAGCAGCCCGCAGAAGAGCCCGCAGAGGAGGAGAGCAGTGGAGACACGCGAACCACAGCAGGTGCAGGGACGCGGAGGAGGAGCAGACCACGAGCAGCCAGACTGAGGACAGCCGGGCCACGCGCACGAGCAACACGTGAGCAGAAGCGACCCCTCCAGAACAACGCATGCATTTGCGAACAGGAGCGTTAGCGACATGCACCTTGCAGGCTTCAGAAGTTTGCAGACTTCAGAAGATCGGGAAGTGGGCGTCTCCGGCTTTTAACTTGCTGTCCTGGTGGTTATTGGTTGACTGGGTGTGGGCGTTGCTGGTATTGATGAGTCGAGGAATAGCAGCCTGTGGCCTGGCAGCAACAGCCGGGTCTACCACGGTGAACTTTCGCGAAAGCTCCATGATCATTTAAGCCTTTCTTCTTTCTTTTGAAGTCTGAATTAAAAGGCCTGCACCAGTAGGGATTCTCATATACTCATGGCTCTGGATGAAATAATAGCATTTTAACTGCCACAATTAAATCCTGCATAATAATACATCATACAAGGGCTAACGTGATCTGCAATGTAACAATAAAGCAACTTAATATTTCTTTCAGTTTCATGTCCAGTTCATTTCACATTTGATTAGCAAGGGAAACTTCAAAGAGAAAGATGTAAGGAACCTGGAGCCAGTTATCATATGCATGCAGCAATATGGGGGCAAGCTTACCAAGACTAAGGAATTGTATAGTTTTGCTGAACACATATTGAGAACAATTCCCTGATTCAGGAGAATTAATTGTTGGCACTGCAACATACAGTACATCCATTAGCCTCCCACTGTGGATCTAGTTATACACTGCCAACATGTATCATCTTCACACATAGACAAAGCATTAGCATGTACATCCCTCGGTTTTATAGGCATATCATGAATCTAATTACTAACGCATCCTGCGCAGTAATTACTCATTCATATGACACAACCGATATCGGGCACGTATTAATATCAAATTAATGCTTTCTGCTAACATCTGCTACACAAGCTATCAACCCTTGTTAGCAGAAGTGTAGTTTTAGCTCACACAGAGTCCTCCAAATACAACTATATACTGGGGACAATCCTATGATGCATGATGGTATATTGCCATCTTGTGGTAGCAAGTATACAGACATTTAAATAAAAAGGACTAGCAAATTCAGCATTTCATACACACAAACACACTCACTGCACTTACCTTGATGGTGCGATAGAGGCATTCTTTAGATACGAGCACATCTGATTTTTAACCTAGAGATTTACTACAGATACTGACACTTTTATGGTATATGTTTTATTTGCCTATGGTATTCACAACTGAATATTATTAAAACCAGACAAACATGTGGTGGAAGTGGAGGAAGCTCAAAGCCAGAAGTCGATTAAAATGATTGGTTTTATAATCATCCTGAGTCTCTGTGATCTATATCTCCCTCCTCACCTTTTCTAGCAGCAATAGCTTTTATCTGGCTCTCCCTCTGCTGTGACTGGAAGCTGGAAATGTAAATTACCTGTCTAGTGCTATCAGAGGAGTGCAGTGATTTACATCCCAGATCCCAACATCAATGTATGAACACCTACAGGAGCTCTCCCCATATTTACTCCAAAATCAATCCGCTTAACACAAGAAAATGTGCCTTTGGCTTTCATCAATAGAAGGGTCTTTAAGATGGGTGATTTTTCACTTTTACCACTTCAGCATGAAATCTATACTCTATTTGAACAGATAGGGAATTTACACTAAAATGGTAAATTATTGAGTATCGAACAATGCTAAAGAGGCCATCATCAGACTCTGGAGCACTGCTGTGGATAGACTTCAATTATTACTTTACGTGTCATATTTATATCCTAGGCCTGAGAGATGTGTGTATGTTCTGCTGTAGGGAAATAAAGGGGAAAATAAAATGAGGCATATTATACAAGATTTATGAATGACTAAAAATGGTAAACAAATAATCTGGGCCATTTGAATGCATCAATTGTAAATATATTGTGAAAGGTCTTCTATATAAACAGGTATAGGAATTGATGCTGGTATTATACACCTTATATAAGAATTGAATTATAGTATGGTACCTGTAAAACTATACATTTTCATGAAAAAAATAAAAGAACTTATAACCTATAACCTTGATTAGGGACTACAGTTGGAAACTATAGCTTTAAATGGAATACAGGCACAATACACAGTAATGTTCATTAATGTGTACCGCTCTTTTCAAATACATAATAATAATAATAATGATAATAAAAATACACACACAACACAAACCTGTTCATAAACAAATGTAGATAATTAAAATGTATTTTATGACCTTGCATGTTAATTATGTTTGAGGCTGATTGTGCCTCTGCCTGGGGATGTGTAGGTGTCAGATTGCTCACATTGAGACTACATTAATAGTTATTCAGCCATATCAAATAGCACAGGCACTCAGCTGAGGTGCTAAGTAGGTAGTATTTATAGCTTTGGGAATCTAACTAATGAGTATCCAAAGACAAAATCAATGCAGTTAATGGAGTGGCTCATTGAAGAGGAATAATTTATCACTAGTTTGGATCCGCTGACAGGACATGCCTTAGTGGAGCAGATTTGGACCATACACTTCTGAATTCTCCTGTTTGTGCTAACAAGGACTTTGTGAGCCTGTTCTAATGAGAAGAGGGATTAAAACTAAATCAAGACAGGTACAAGGCTGCTTGTAAATGTCTGTGATGTTGGTTCAGATGTTTGTATCCGGTAGTGGAACTAGTAATTAGGGATGCTTCGATCCATGGACATTTTTTGGATGGGGTAACAGTTCAACAACGAGTATATCCGGATGATTTCCTGATTGGGCCTTTCTATTGCTGTAACAGGAATATTTACTGCTTGACCCAAAACATTAACGTTTATTTTACCCAAACAAACTTAGTCTGTAGTTACTTGCAAATCCATTTCAAATATCACAATTGAACACCCAGAAGTGAGATTTTCAGTCCAATCACTGAATCACTGGATCGTTGCATCCAGTAATGTGCAGATCATGTGAAATGATCTGTTGAAAGTAGGGCTGAAATTAAGGATTATTATTAGTATTAGTTGTTTAGATCTGTCAAAAGGGATTCTTTATAAATTTGACCAAAACAAAGCAATGCCACTTGAGAACATCTTGATTCAAATGTTCTCTAGAGTTAATGCATTAAAAAACAATTATCCAAACATAATTCAATGTCTTTCTGTTGTATTCAGAAAATTACAGAACTTTAAGGCGGAAGTGGCAAGATTCAGCAATATCTACTATATCTCTGTCGCAGTCATATAACCTCTATTATTATTTCAACAATAGATTAGTCGCAATTAATCGATTCAATTAATACATACCTAGTTAGAAGTGTAAAAATCAGTTTAACCAAGAAAGATGAACCTTCTCATGGTGTAACATAGCTCCACCAATCCTAATGCACAAGTGTTACCGGGGGGTCTGGGGGTCTGTAAATTAGCCTAAGGCTAACTCCGGTACAATGCATCAAATAGAAACACTTATGTTCTAATTAGTGTACACGGTCCCTTTTTAAATAAATAAAATAAATAAAAATAAATAAATTACTATTTTGTGTATTTCCCCATAGTTTCCTGCTCTAGTCCTGCTATTGATCCTGTTTACAGCTAACCTTTAAGTGCACATTCGCTCCGTCACTGCCATCCGATCTGTGCATTACAAAATCAATGTATAAGTGTGCTAATGAGAGCCTGCTCCACATCCACCACTCATAAAAACTGTTGACGTAAGCCATAAGTAATGACTTCCTATCAGCTGCAGACAAATTAATAATAGCTTTATGTGAGAACAGCAGTAAGTCAAATTGTGTTACATTATATTGCAGCATTGTTATTTAAATAGCGCAATTGTGTAATTATATTCAGTCATTGTCATTCAGTTTGAGTTACAACATTGTTTGTGCCAACCATAATAGATTTGATTTATTTGTCAGACTGAAGTCACATTATTGAAGAAACAATTATGTTAGAAATATAGAAATTAAATCATTATTCTATGTATTGTAGATTGTAGCCACTGATAGCCGTTACTTTTGTAGTTCCCATTTAGATCACAAGGACGCTTAGTAGGGACCAGAGAATAGGGCTCTACTATTAGCATTACACCTAATATATATTGTATATGCAGTGTTAGTTAAATCTTTATCTAGCGAACAGTAATGTAAGCTGCACACACCACTTTAGAACAAAGAATCAAAGTTATGATGAAACTGAAGATAAATATTCAGAATTGTAAGAATAACCTCTTAAAGATCTGTATGTTTTACTTTAAATGGATTAAGCTCAAGAAATTCTCTTGTCGAACATACATACATTTTTAAACTCCCCAATCCATGTTAAATCTAGCTTAGCTTTTTTTCCTGTGTAAATGCAGCCAAAGGGGGACTTGTTGGTTTCTCTGATGAAACAGGACTATTTAGGGACTTGGTCTTGGTATGTGCAAAAAGACCTATAATAACAAGTTTTTTTAGGGTTAGCTCAAATTATTTATGATTATTTAGTTGTCTTACAAAAGCAGTGACTTGGGAGTTATACACACATTTATTTTAATTGTCTGGGAGAAATGCAAACTGGATTAAGTCTAGACATAATGTTGTAACTCAAAAATATGTATCTTTTAATATTAAAGTTGGTATTTGTTTCCCCATGAAGTGTGTTGTATGCTAGTATGAGTAATCAGAGGAGACACTTACTGAGGTTACAGTCTATCCTGATACAATCTGGTGAGAGAGAGAGTGAGATGGTGAGATTAAAGAAAAAAAAATAGGAAAAAAAAACAGCATAAAAGAAGAGAAAATTTCACATCCTTCAAGCTACAATCTGCAGACAGTTTAGAACGTCTCAGAGCCCACCAATCCGGGGACAGCCTCGAGAGACCAAAGCGCCTCTTTCCTCCCGCTGAGCCCTCACAAAAGCGCAACACAACAGGCAAGATGTCAGCGTGCACTGCCCCCTGCTGGACACACGGATCAAAGCACTGATCGATGGAGCCTTATCGACCAGCCAAGAGGTAGACATGCACCAACTTTTCATTTTCGCTTTATTGTGTCTGGGGTATGTGGGGGATAAACGCAGTGCCGCTAAATTAATTTGATTGTTTAAGATAGCAGAAACAAGCTTTGAGGTTATGAACCAGCCCGGCTCAAAGTCTCTGAAGCAGATAAGGAAGCTTCAGAAGAAAAGTTTACGGCTCAGGTGGGAGATAGAGATCAAGATGTGTAAAGGAACACAGATTATTCTAAAAAGGACATATTTGCTTGAATATTGTTTATTTTTGAGAAAAGACAGCTTCAACTTTTATCCAAGCTTAGGTAAACTATTACACTAAACTATTACACAGAACTATTTATTATTGTTTTTTTTCCCACAACCTTAGACCAACTATAGACTGTTTAAAGATGGACAATGCTAACGCCCTTACCACAATGGATCCCAGTAGAGCGGTGACATTTTGCTCCAAATTCCAGCTCCTAAACTCCTCTAGCTCAGTAACCTTTTGTGTCACACTCACACACATTCTGGGCTTTAAAATTCCATGGTTTGGATTCTGGTATTTCTAATCAATGGTATTTCTAATCAATCAATTTCTAATGTCTCTAAATTCAGATATGAGCCCTAACAACTGGACCAATCAGGAGCCCTCTGCCACTGAATTTGGCTTGAGTAGCAAGTTGCGCAAATGGAGACAGACCGGCGCCACTCCTGATTGGTGCTTGGTCGCGACCGTTGCTACCAACAAAATGTGCGAATATTTGGCTCCACTTTCCTGCTCATATACCGTGTTTGAGCTCGCTCTAATCAATCTCTTCCGCGTTAAGGCTAACACTATGGGTGACATCAGCATTGGGTTAGTCCACTCCCTATAGGAGGATCTTGGAGTGACGTTGTTGTTAATACATAGTTCCCACAGACCAATGAATGTCACATGACCTCCTCGGAGACGCCATCTTTGATGGCACGCTGCTGTGTTTGTGCATTCCATTAAACAGAAGAATGAGAATAAATGTAGATATTCAAACGCAAATTGGAAAAAAAGGGCAACTTTTGAGCAAATAATTGTATATTAATACAATGGCACCACAGTTTAACGTGCTACGGACATGTTTTACATATTTGATCAAATTATGCAGCAAAAATTAACAAGCAATGCAAACATTTCTCAAAAACTTTAGATTTAATACCAGTTGGAGCTCCATTTAATTATTTTAATTATATTAACAATTAATTTAATTAATGCTAATGCCACACGGACACTCTGGATTGCTGTTATTGTTTATTTCCGCGTTTTTGACCGTATGTTTTGGTGAATGGTGGGCAACTGATTTTTCCAGGCGTAAAGAGCAGTTTATTTTATGACACAGATCTTTTTACAGAAGCAATGCTGTTTGTGAACATTGTTTTAGCCCACCATAGAACTATTATTATCTATTTAATACATTTACGTTGCCCTCGAGAGCCTCGGACGCGACACCGATCCTCCTCATAATAAAGTAATCTAAATAATGAAACTCTCAAGTTACCAGATATCAGCATACACAAGTTAGTACTGAGTAAATTACGTCTGTCAACACATTATAAGATACGATACGCACCTGACACAAAGTGCTCCGAGCATATTCTTGCGTGTTTTGAGGGAGTTTCTTGCCTGTTTATCTTCGCAAGCCATAACCTCCTTGGTTGTTCTGACAAAAGCTTAGTCTTCTCACATTCATGAAGTCTAATGATGGGTATACTGTCCAACTTTAACGGAACCTCCGGCACGATTTGAACATCCATTGACCCAGCAGGAGATGACCATTTTCAACTTTATCACGACATTAACACGTTTCAGCTTCTTTTTCTATTGTTTTGCCCACAGCATGCCAAGACAAATGGCGCCGGGTCGGCAAATCCCCGTATGTAGTGACGTCATGTGGGAACTATGTATATACAGTTTATGCTTCCAACGTGAGCAAATTCTCTTGTTTAAAAAGTAGTGGTCAATTTTTTAAATTTTACATAGTAGAGATAGACTTATTCTGAGGTCACTGGAGGGTGAGTTTTCTATGTTTGATATATTCCTGCGCTCAAATCCATATTTCATTTGAACATCTCTGCACTGGTTACGTTGTTAATAAAAGTTGGTGCACAGCCACTCCAAACTTTGATCCATGGTACATCTCCTGCAAACTGCTTCTCTTGCAACCTGCTGGTTCTGCAAACATTATGCAAATGAGTCACTTAAATGCGCAGGAAAGAGGCGATTTGCACATGTCCCAGCCACAGTGAACCTTATACATCGGCAAAGCAAGAATGAAATGGCATTTAAATGTGCTCCCATATGTTGCTGAGCTAATATCCCGTCTGATTCAGAAAGGCTTTTCCTGCTAATCTTATATATATATATATATATATATACACTGTGGTGAATGCCTTTCTCCCCGTGCGTGAATATATCAGTATAAGTCATGTGGCTGGGGAGCGCTCTCGAGGCGTCAACCATCACAGAGCAGTGGATGTAGGCAGCCAGGGACCAGCACTGTGGTATCAGGTGTGTATGTAAGAGGCCTTGTAAAACCACTGCAATATAAACAGAACTGCACAATATTACACTTTCTATGCTTTTATTTTTAACAGTATTGCCTTAGAGATGGCGCAATGACAAATTTTGAGGAGCGTTAATCTCTCACAGAAAATATTGCGCAGTGTGACACCCAAATAAAGACAAAGCAAAGAACAAATACATAAAAAAAAAAAAAAAATTCTTATCAATTTTATGTCATGATAAACAGTAGTAACCATCTCTGATTTTGCACTAAGTTGGTTTATTTCTGTCTATTATTTTGAGAGTGAAAACGCTCAAAATGGGAGTTGCAGCACAAATCTAGATAAATCACAGTAAATATTGAGCCTTCCCAAAATGGTTGCAATTTACATGTATAGAACAGCCTATGGTGAGTACATTGTATTCACTCTTAAAAATGTCCAACAATTCATCATCATTTCAGTTTGATTTATGGCTATAGATTTCTGCTTGCATATGTCTCCTTGATGTAATATTGTGCAGCTCTGGTCCCAACAGGATCCGTGTGTCAAGAGTCTAAGTGGTGATATGTTTTCAATGTGAGCGCAGTCTGGTCTGTGACTGCCTCCTCCTTTAACTGCAGACAAGCCGTTGAAGGGCTGAAAGAAAGAGCCCAGTGGTCAGAAGAGGCCTGACCACGAGATGAACCCGGGCAGAAAAGAGATGAGAGAGAGAGACAGAAAGAAAGAGAGAAAAGACAGAAACACATACACACCACCAGTTGACTAAAAAGCACTAATGGGCCCATATTTGTGATTCATATTTAACCAGCTTTTTGATCTGAGTATATTTTCTTTCATATTTAATGCTGCATTCCTACAGTAATACTATTTGATATATATTGTGAACAAAGGCTTTCAGAGCCAACATGGAGATCAGACATTCCGAATCCATCTGTGGACTTAGACTAGAACATTTTTCGGGAGTCGGGACATTGTGCATGTTCCTCAAAAAAATCCAGATTATCAAACAGACCTACATTTAAACTTTGTACATAGGATTTACTTATAAGACTTACTCATAGACTTTGAAGCCTGATTCGGCAAACACTCTGGTAGTATCCATGGCCACTCTGTTTGGGAGATGGAGCCGGCCACAGGTCCCAGTGTTGTGCCTGGTCCCCTGCTCTCTATAAGGCCTTCTGCTAAATTACCTTTCTCAGCTCAGAATGAATCGGGGAAAAAAACGGGTTCACCTGAAGGGGCTTATGCCGTCGGCAGCCAAAAAGATGTTTGCCACAAGGTGGAAGCCCCCTCGATTGCTGTCCCGTGGTCAGTGGGTGGAATTTTGTAGACATTGTTTTGTAGAGTAAGAGCAAAATACTGTCAACATGTTAGACTAATTTATAAATATTTTTTCAATTGAACACATTTTCTTTTTATATTTTATTTTTTGTCCTGGACCTGTGAGTGGTTGTGTAATTATGTACGTTTTTTTGTTTGATTTTTGCTTGTTGTTTAGTCAAAAAAATGTCTTGATGGTGTCCTTATTTTATTTAAATTACAAAAATTTTTATGGGAAAACTGCAAAAATACAGGGTCGTGGGGATAATTTGTTGAGAATTTTGGGATTTACTTTGATATTCAAGCCATTGCAAACTCTCATTCTAATTAATTCCATGTATCTTTTTATTCATAGCTACCTTTTTGTTCTATTTAGTTGTTATTGCAGTCAGTGCCGTTCAAGATGGTTAAGAGATATTTTAGCAAGGCTTTTGCTATACCCATCTTTTTGTAAACTATTGAATCAACAGGGCATGTCTGTTCTCATGATCACCTTCCAAAATGTGATGGACTTTACATCCCCATTTCACCTGTTGATTATCAGTGCCAGTTTTTGTAATTTAAAAAAGGTTTGCATGCGGCACACTATTATTTTTAGCCTTGTGTGACATTCTGCCTCCTATAGTCTGGCATTATGAAGCGTGTATAATTTCCAGGGACACACAAATTGCATTTTAACAGCAGTCCAACCATTGAGCTGTCTGCAATTTTTGATAAGGAACACAGGTATGAGTCATTTTCTTTTGAATTCAATGATTACAAAGCCATTCTCAGCAGGGGTTCACTCGCACACAAACGTCACTATTAGTTTTCTTCATACATTCGAGAGGTTCAATTTTGCATCTATTCAAGACTGTATTTCAATTCAGAATTAAGACATATTTCAAAGCAATGAAACACTATGAATGTCACAAAAGGCAAAATGAATTTGTCCGGATTGTGGCCAGAGAGTGCTTTTTGTAATCTGTCGTTAAGAATGTCCTGCATTGAACAAACAAATGTATTTAAATATATAACTGATTAACTGAGTTTTCACGGCGTATCTCAACCATACATGACTTAAGAGATTGGCTATTATATCTTACTTCTCACGATTTTGCAGTAATAATCCATAATTCTTCAGTTTATCACAGAAAACGATGACTAAAATACTTTAAAAACACAAGGCTAATGACCCAAAGGAAACAGAATTTTACGGCTATTCTTTCTTTGTTTTTTGTTTTAGATGGCATACATTTTGATAGGGCCTATTTAATATATTATTCACAATATGATTTTAATTGTTTGACATTTTGTTTTAATCTCTTAAATAAACATGACCGGGGTTTGTAGATCTTTATGAAAACATATTTAAAACCATGTGCAAACATAAAAAATATTATATAAAAAAATTATTATTCATGTTTTTATGTATTTATCAATGTTCGTTGATGTTTTTGTCGCCATTTGGAGCCCTGTTAAAATATGCTTTATGAGGCAACTGGTCTGCTGTGTATGGCGATGGATATGAGAAGAGTCTGACACAAAACCAATCTAAAGCTGCACGTGGCGAGTCCTAAAAAGGTCAAAAGCTAAACTATTCACGTCACGTTTGTGGTTGTGCAGCATTACCCAGGTTCACAGTGAGCTTCACCCTCCCTCCGTCCAGCTCCAAGCGCATGGTGTCGGCCGACTGCTGGGAGGTGGTGGCCAGCAGCAGCCCGTAGGCCCTCTGGGACATGAAGCGGAGGGACACGTCTTCAGCCTCCGTGTGCAGCGTGCGGGGCAACAGGACCTTCAGGTACATGCTGCCGTCGTAGCTCACCGCGGTGGCCTCTGCAAACATCAATCAAATATCGCAGCTTAGAAACAGACAATGGCTTTGACAAGGTGGTTTTGGTCTGGCCGTACGATGAATTGCAATTTTAGTGGATCAATGGGAGGTTTAGTGGATCAATGGGACAAGTTAAGCTTGAATTAAGTCTTGTGTTATCATTGTCCTTGTTGTACCACTGCTAACTGTGGTCCTAAAAGCAGCTACTGTATATAAACCACACCAGCTAGTCATTTTTGTCTATACATATTGTATACGCTGCACTTTCATGTTGTAATGTAACAAAAAGTAAATAGATGACTGTTTTAACTCACAAAATGATTTACTGACAAGGTTTTTAACACACTGTTGCCTTTTAGATAACACAATGTACTCTAAAGAGGCAAACAATAACAGTTAGATTTAATGTAATAACACCATAAACTCTCCTCTGAAAACACTAATCACATAAAAAACAGGTCCTGTGTCTTTCCTGTCACATAAACCACAACTGATACAATACAAATAGCATTTTGTACTTGTAACTGTACTTGCTCATAGATACTGGGATTTAGTAGCTATAATCTGTCATATCCCTTGTAATCCAACATGTCATTCTTTTTGCTTGTTCAAACTTTCCTTGGCATATCTGCTTCATGACAATACAATTATTTTTTTCAATGATAAAAACATTTTTTTTTTTTTGCATTGTATTCTTTGTTCAGAAAAAATATGGTGGTGCTATAGTTTTAAACTTAAAATAAACGCACACAGGTTGTGTGATGTATGAATGCATTTCAGAAAAATTGTCAAATGGATACATCCAAATGCAGCCATCATTTTTGTTTTCCACATAATGATGTGGACTGTTTGCATAATTTCCGTCCTAACAATATATTATGTTATTTAGTAACCAGGACAACCACATGCAGTCTTCCGCCTCATATGGCTTCTAAGCAACAGCTTTCTCCCTGTTAGAATGCATTTACTCATTCTTACACTGTAGCTTGTGGACGTCTCCTATTTTGTATTTAAAGTTGGCGTAACTTACTTTTCAAACTGCAGAAAAAAGTACTTCAACAACATTTAAAAAAAACATGCACCTCGCAGCTCACAAATCAGTTTGATTCTAGCCCTAGTCTTCACATGCATGTATTTTTGGCCTTTGTCACATCCCGCCCTCACTCAGCCCTCAGCCTAAAGCGTCAAACTGTTATTTCTAAGAATGCAAACAATTTTTTTTCTACTACGATGAAGACAGCATTTCATTTGTTCTTCTTGAATAAAATTTAAATTAAATTCACGTTCAGTAAGATTCATTGCACACTGATGTATTAACATTGCAGTTTCCATTTGTCACAGCAGATGGCAGACAAGGCCCAGAGGATCAGAAGATAGTGGAGTGATTGTAGCCACATTTTGAAGGATTTATTCCCATTACAAATCAGCATAAGGGGAATTTTTTGATCTATTCCTCATTCCGTTAGCTGCCAATGGCTAATTTGGCTCATGTGAGAGAAAGCCATCTGCAAACTAAATGCACCGTGATTCAGCCTAATGAAGCAGCGCTACTAGTGGGGAAAAATGACAATCGTATGATACTGACGTGTTTAAATGAACGGCTCCACGCGTAGATACAGATGCAAGAGCGAGCTGTGGGAACCTCTCTAATGGCAACAACATGGTGTATTGTCATTAGTAATCTCCCACGCTCTAGCTCATTACCCACATCTGTCATTTCAACATACACACATAATGTATTATTCTACTTGGGGAAGCCAAATACAGTGATCGGGAAATAAGTGCTGTTTCTTGATGCGATTATTGGCATGAGTTGTCACCGTGAGAGCGTCTACGTTTTGTACAAGGATTGAAAACAAAAAGTCCTTTCAGAAGTGAGAAGTCTGCGGTTTTGGAGATAGGAAAAGAAGTCTTTTTTTTCTATCTAAGCTTAGATGACTTTATTGCCACTTTGATCCTGGAAAAAGAAAAAAAAAATCTTTATTTAAAAAGTGTGATATGCTTAATGGAACATTTTCCTATGTGTGGAATTTGATAGTTCTTATAGCAAGAACTGTAAAAAACTTTAATTAAAAATTTATGCAAATAGGAATTCATTGTTTTCAATTCCACATGGTATTAACGACGACTTATCTTAAAGTAAAGCACAAAAGTGATAAGAGCTCCTGAATCCAGGCCCCTTTTATACAGCAACCTAAAACCTCCTTTACATGTTATTATATTCACTTCTGTAGTTATTATAAAGTCACCATTTTTATAAATATTACATTTCTATAATAAAAACACAGTCACCTAAAGGGTAAAAAATTTATCAGTCAGTCAGTTTTTGATTTGATTTTGTTTCCCTATGATTAACACAATGTATTACCAATTCAAACTTTTATTTTATAAATATGATCGACTTTTGTAATACAATATGACTTCATGAATTACATGAAACAGTTTGTATTTCACCATAGTCTATCCCGTGTAATATCTAAAATCTATCTGAAAATCTCAAAATGATCACATGTTTAAATCTGCCACCTGTGCATCTCTGCGGGGTATTTCAGACGCCCATGAGCAGCAGACAACGCTGGACAGTAAATACTACAATGATAAACATGCGGCAGCTCAGGAGCCTCACCGGTCTCACAGTTGGGGCCTGTGTAGCCCGTGCCGTTGCAGTCACAGATGTGCCGGTTCCAGCCTTCTCGACATTGCCCCCCGTTGGCGCATGTGTCTCGGTGGCACCTCACGTGCGTCTCTTTGGTGCAGAGGCTGCTCACACCTGCAGCGCTCTGCACCTCCGCCAGACGCCACAAATTACGACTCTGTCCATCAATAAAGAGGTCCCGAACACAGCCCACGTAGCCCAGGCTCAGAGTAGCCGACCACACCTCCGGGGGCAGCATGATGCCATGGCGGTCTTCAGGCAGACCCCCCAGATACATGTCTCCGTCCAAGTCCAAAATCTCACTTCCTTCGTTGGCAGAGAAGGGCACGCTCTGGCTGTTGACCGAGATAAAGCCTGTGGGAGCAACATGAGTCAATACTTCATAGAACGGCACTGAGGCAGGTGTGAGTGGGATGTGCTAAGTGAGAGGAGCGAACAAACTGTGAGAATGAGGGAGTTGGCTCTGCTCATTCTGCCAGTACTAAATCACATGTGCGAAAAGTAAAAATCCTCCAACGCTATTCGTAAACTATAATTCGTCCAGTTCAGCCGTGAAACAAATGCACTATTGAAAAGGTGAAGCAGCACTTTATGCTAATGCCAAACGGGAAGACTGATCCCCATTAGAGTGAGTAAACCTATAATTGGTCACTTGTGAAAGCATTTAACAGGTTTATAAATGTCATGCACAGATTACTGCCACCAAAAATTGTGACTGTAATTAAGAGCTGATACGAGTGTTTCACTGTGATGACTAAAAGCAGGAACATTCCCGTGTGACTATATCTGACATATGGCAATTTCACAGCTTGAAGCCCTTTGTGCGCCGCTACTCCAAACTAGCACAACACAATGACAGAAGAACGAGACAGAAGGCTTCCTGTTACTGCGAACATTTTACAGATATTTCTCACCATTTCGTCCGTTCCTCTGGAAGTCCACATGGTGCCACTTGCCATCATCCATCCGTTTTTCTGTGGCTTTTATTTTGACGCTGCCTGAGCCCATGTCCATCACCATGTAGAGGAGACCGTTCAACAATTCCAGTGCAAAGAAGTCCACTCGTGGTTTCTGGTTCCCTTTAACGATATGTCAAGTATTTTAGAAGCGTAAAAGAGATGCAGTTAAAACTAAAACAAATGTGTATACTGTTTGAAGTCTCTCTACTCGTACTTCAACTCATAATTATACAAATATAGCTGATATATGACAGACTCAGTACACACTGAGAGAAATATAGAAACTCCCAAAAAAGCATCTCAGAACATGTTAATATTTTGTATAACGTCTGTAAGTTGTGATAATCAACATTTTAACAAACAAAGGCTTGGCACATGTCACTTTGCTTGTTAGGAGTCTATATCATCATCATGACGGAAGTGAGCGGGAGAGAAGTCTTGGGAGTTAGTGCGCGGAGGGAGCGCTCCTCGTATTATTACGCCTCACAATATAGTACCTCTTTTTATCCGCTGAGAAAATCGACATGTTACATTTCTGTGTTACTATACTTTGTAGTGTAACACGTCACGTAACTGTATTTAAATAGGGAAAACGTGGAAGAGTTTGGTAGCTTCTAACGGGAGCTGATTTGGTACTATACGGTATGTTTGTGTAAGCCCTCAGTCGTACAGGGATTAGTCAAAGCAAAGGAAGGTTTCTCACCCATCATCTGTACTTCTTAGCAAGTTGATGGGTGAGAAACCTTCCTTTGCTTTTACTTTACGGTATTTGGAAGAGGCTGCGTTTGTGCTCCGTTTGCATGACAGAGCGCACGGACAAAGATCACACAAGTACATATCAACTAGTCTGAGGTAAGGTAAGAACATATGTCAGTATGTAAAAACGGTGGCCTATTCCTTTAAATTACAGAACATGTCTTCGGTGTTGCTTTTAGAGATTTAACCATTGGAATGAATTTTAACCTTGTTTTCTTTTTTAATTTATGTACTTGTCTTGGGAATGTATTCCAACATGATTTTATGGCAAATAAAATTATTCTGAATCTGAAACTGGATGCGTTTACCGTTCAGACTGCCGTGGCCGAAGAGGAGGAGGCCGCTGGGCTCGCTGGTGCGGAAGTCCAGGGAGATGGCTCCGGTTCTCTTTGTGTTCCACTTAGGCAGTGCGAGGTAGGAGTTGGGTCGGTCAAAGGTGACTGGTTCAAGAGCCTCGACACTTTCACAGCTGAACTTCAGATCACCATGGATACTGATCCGTGGGTCCTGCAGCTCGGCCAGGCGTGACAGCTCCAGCCTAAACTCATTATTCTTGTAGACCACCTAATAAAACGGGAGAGATACGATGGTGAGATGACAGCTATTTCAGCTTGAATATTACTTATCAATAAATCAGAGGAAGCAGGCAGAGGGGAGATGGAAGGAGAAAAAAATGTCAAATCATGCACGGGCTTAGATTAGAAATGCCCAGATGACTTTAATGCAATTTCGGCAAAAGAGTCGGGCTAAACAAGATGATATCTTTAATTATGCGAGTTAAGACGCAAATGATGGAAAAATAAGCACGGTTTTATTGGAAGGAGATTGCAGTCGGCTCACGCTGCGTTTCGACAGCGACTGAAGAAACATGCAGGGGACTTATTGTGATGCCTGCTATTATTCATGAAATCCATCTTTCATCACAATAATGATTTTTTGGAATTTTATATGGAATTTGTTTACACTGTTTATTACAAAAAGGCTTCAAACAAAAGAGGTGGTAAGAAATAGGGGAGTTTTATCATGCAAAAACCTTCATATTCTAATCTTTCGTGGATTAACGCAGGAGGACTCGACATTGATGCTAAAATTGCCTTAAAATTTGGAAGAGGAGACATTTTTCTACACAGCACCCACACAGGGTAATTGTGTGCATATGAAATATAAAATACAAAACAGTTGAGTGCAGTGAGGTCCAGCCAAAGGTAGTGGGCGGAGGAGAGGTGGAATTGATTATTTACCAATGCCTTATTCAAATGTAGTGAACAGAACTGATAATTATTTTAACTGGTCGCCAATAAACACCAATTCTCTCACCAACAGTGAGAAAGATACATTAATATTTCATTGACACAACAATGAAGTCGGATGAGGTTAAAGGGAATGTCAGTTTCTTTTAAAATAGACGTGCACTGGTTTAATATTTCAGCAAAGGACCATTTTTATGATATTATTGTTGAAAGATACAATAAGTTCTTATAAAAGGGAGGGACAATTCTTAGTTGCTGCATCAACTACAAAACTTCAAACTCGACTTTGGTAGTAGAAAACATTCTAAGTATACTTATTTAAATGCCATGGACATTATTTATGAATGCTATTTTTGGACAATAGATTCTAATTTGTCTCTCCAAATATCAATACCTTTTTGGGGTCATAACGTTTTATACAAGTGTTTCTGATGTAGTCATAGAATGTACAGATAAATTAAATTTTGCCTCGCTCAATTTTTTTTTTATGACACCAGCTTTTTTTGCTTGATATGCATTGCTTGTCTTTTTTCATATTTTATAAATCCCTGTATTATTTAAGTTTTTTCTGGTAAGATTCAAGATTATTTAAAATGCAAAAAGTGCGTCACTAGCACTTTTGCCTTGTAGAATTTTTTTTGGTATCATGGTATTTGTCTTTCATGGGCAAAATGTGTGAAAGTGTGTGTGGGTGTGTGTGTGTGTGTGTGTGTGTGTGATTTCACAGAGACAGTGAGGTTGCTCTTTGTTGCCTTCATGGGGACACATAAGGACCACCTGTATGCTGGTCGCTGGTCTCATTCTGCATCGATATAAGTCACCCACAGTGCAGTGTTATCTGGCGCGTCACATTATGGCTGAGGTGACACGCGCGCTACGCTGACGCCGAGCGTTAACAGCAGATCCACTAGGCAATTTGGGCCAATATCACACTTCGCACTGCCTCACTCTGACTAATTAAGCAACCCAATCAGATGGTGGACTGGCCATTGAGAAAGTAGAGTAACAGCCTTCTTTTTTTTACAATAGGAGCAAATGAACTCAGCACAGTCAGTTTGCATTAAAGCTTGAAATGGACGGCTTTTCGGTAATCAGAGACGGCTCACATAGATCAACAGAATATGTTTACATAGAGTGCTGCACACTGTGCAAATTCAATATAGACAGTTTGAAAAATATTAAATGTTTTTCTTCTTGTAAAGTAAACACATTGTAAACTGTATTTTTGGCTTTGTTTACTGTCAGAAATACATTTTTATCTTAATCTGGCAAATCACCATGACTCATATTATTCGATGGTCCTTCCAAATGTCACATTTAAATATCATTTGATGTTATTTGTATTTGTATTCTTGGAGCTGTCTGACAGAACAAAGACATCTGTACCAGTACATTAACTGTTTTAGTTGTCGAATGATTCCACACATTGGGCCTCATTCACGAATAACTTCGTAAGAAACGACTCAACTTTCTTCTCAAGTCGTTCTTAAGTAGATTTCTAAGAAGTCCCCACGTGGGATTCATCAACGCACTCGTAAGCCGCTGAATTGTTCGCAGCTGTTCTCTCAGATTGATGAATCCCATTTCCTCGTAAATACAGCGCGCGTGCCAGGTGCTTCATTAGCATAGGTACTTAGCATAAGTAACCGCCCATTAATGCCCATATAAGGGACTGCAGGGCCGTGTGCAGACGGCTGAGGAAACAGCAACAGGCCTAAAGCAAAGAGTTACACGGAGCAAAAGAGTCACCCTTTTTTCTTCCTTTACCAGACTGAGAATAAAGTTATAAAATGTTGACTTAAAAGGCGAAATATTATGATAATAAAGTCGAACTAGCAAAATTATGAGATTAATCTAAGAATATGATGAGATTAATCTCAAAATGTTATGAGCTTAATTTAAAAATATATTATGTATTATTTTAAAGATGAATCTCAAAATGTTTTGAGATTAATCTCAAAATATTTTGGACCCTGGGAGGAGATCCAGCGCGGACCAGCGCTGAGACCAATGCAGACCCGAGGAGAGACTGGAGTGACCAGCACACAGAAACCAGCGCGGACCTATAGGAGAGACCGCATAGACTGGAGTGACCTGACTGGAGAGACCGGTGCGCAGAGACCAGCGCGGACCGAAGAGAGACCGCATAGACCAGACTTGAGAGACCAGCGCGGACCCGTATGGATCCAGGAGCATGCAGCACGGACCCGTATGGAGAGAGACCAGTGCAGACCCGTATATGGGAGAGACCAGTGCAGACCCGTCTAGATCCATGGGAGAGACCAGCGCAGAGACTCAGCGCGGACCCAGTAACCTCCTGCAGCAGCAGTATATATGCCGTTGTTCTGTAGCCCGTGGATAAAGAAATGCCCCCTATAAATAGGAAGGGGTCACTAATACACGGCAAGATTTCCAATGTATTTGATAAAGCGTTGGCACATTTCATTTCAAAATGAATTAAAAAGTAGGCCAGATCTGCAGTGAAAAAGGCGGTATATAAATAAAGATTACTAATAAAGATTACTACAAATAAATAAATACATACATCGATATGACGGACATATCACTGGAATGTTGTATTTTTATTCAACTTCACCAAAGAGGACAACCCCGGCTGTGAACATGTCGGCACTGAATGCGTACGAGTGCTCCTGAGGACTCGTAGGATTTGTACTTGCCCAAGAGAAATTCTGGTTACGAGAAATATTCGTGAATGCCACTTTCTTCGTAAAAACCGCGTAAGTAGGATTTACGTACAAATCTGTTCCTAAGAACCGTTCGTGAATGAGGCCCATTGTTTCTTTAGTGTTGGATAATGACACCACTTTCTATAATAATTGTTTTAGAGTCATTTACATTTCTTCGCTCTTGCAGGCAGGGAAGATGTTGAACTTTAAGCCCGTGGGAGAAATCCAAGCTAGTAATCATATACTGGGAAAATAAATCTTCTATCTGAACAATCCTCCGGCCAAAAGCAAAAGGATTTTTGAATGTTGCTGTGATGCAACCTCTTTTGGATCTCAAGCAAAGCCAAAGGTTCACAGCTGTTACATTCATGCAATTCAAATAAAAAAAAAAAGAATTCTTTGCCTGATAGTCATAAACAGTCTTTCTCCTGCTCAGAGATTTTTTAAGAATACTGCAAACACCTTTAGTGGAACATATCACTTTCTATCTATTTGTTTATGTTTGTTCAAGGTCACAGTGGTCCAACAGTAAGCATGAAACTTCTGTTAATGTATTGGACTTGCTCAGAGACTGCTGCTCTGTGGTCTGTAGCAGCTCATAAACACTGCTCACAGATAAACAGAGCAGGACTTCAAAGACAAATTGGTCCCTTCCGTGTTTGTTGTTAGCGGTGGCGCTGACATTCTCCTAAAGCGGGATATTTCTGCTGTACCTGATGAACCTGATGGCCCTGGCCTCCAGCACACACATCCATTATCATCACAGATTAGTCATGCTCCAGACTCCGCACACTCAATAAACACAGACGACTGGAGGAGACATATAACACCACACACAGACCAGCCGATAACATGGCTAATGCAGAAGCTCTCTTCGGTCAAGCTTAAATAACTGTATCTTGTATCTTCGACATGGGACTAAATTAATACCGGCTAAAATGGGCATTTAAGGTAAAAACTGGAATAACTGGAGTGTGTTGGATTGCACACATGTGAACTGAAATAGCAAAGATACAGTTAGATTATTCAATACACTAACTGGCAACACTTAAAGCTGGGGTACCTAACATTTATCCCATGAATATTGAATGAATACATGTTTTTCTCCAAGCAAATGGAGTCGTGAACAAATCAGATCTTATAAGGAATGATAAAGGAATGATAAACTCATGCAAATAAGAAAGAGTTGAGTGAAGTTGATCTGGGCTTTTTTGCTTTTCTGTTGGAAAAAGCTGATCTAAACATGTGACAAAGGCTAAAAATATATTAAAAGTGAAAACATGGAAAACGTGAAAGAACCAAACTGTTTTGAGAGCATGGAACTTTGGTAGATATTATGTTATTTTTTGTGGTATGAAGGTTAAGTACTTTAATCATCAATAGTTTTCTCCATTAAATAAAGCACCAGCAGATTGAATTAACAATTTAGATAGTAGTTTCACCAATGTAAAATATATTCCAATTAGTGCATAGGTACATTGGTTGTCCTACTGTAAGACTACTGTCCTTCTCTGACTTCATATTTCAATAAAGCATTGCAACAGAGCCACCATCTAACTCCAGAATGTGGGTCTGAAGTGACACATCTTTGAATGAGGCTGGAGGATTTCCTGGCCGCCTGCTGCCGTTTGATCATTCGGCGTCACTGTCTTGTGTGTGACTGTGCCATGAGAGTGTGAACAGGGCACAGCTCACTGCCGCCCACGGAGCGGAGGTTGCAGCTTTGGCAGCCATGCCATGACAATAACCTGTCCAGAAATAACCCGATCCATGCACAATCACTATGCAGAATATATCAGAAAACCCAGAGAGCTTTCAAATGTTAATGTTGAATATTTTGTTAACAAACACTATTACAGTGAGCCTACTTTAACAAGCTTGTTCAAGTCTGAGTTTTGCATAAAACAACATCATTTGTGGGAAAGAGTTGAATATCTTCGCATCCCACATTAGATTTTTTCCTTCCAGTAATGTTATGTTCCATTTTGAACCCAATTTATTATTATATTTCTGGAATCAGTTAAAACAAGATGTTCAAATGTAGAAAAAACTTGGGTTGATGCATGAGACATCACAAAATATGTATGTTCCTGTTGTTGTATGTTCCAGAACATGGTAACTTTCGCAGAAGAGCACAGTACCCACGCAGCGCTCGTACACAAATGGCCAGAGATCAGGGATGACATTAATTGATGCGTAATTTTTACAAGATCAAAAGGAAACATGGAGGTTGTCAAGATTGTTGTGAAATCTGTGACATCGAACCCTACGACCACCACTTTTTACAAACACACACCAGAGTCATCATTTCCAAACAATGTGGGTGCGGGCTAAACACAGAGACTCCAGTCACAGAGCTTCAGAGTGGCACATGGTATTCCCAGCACTCTCCCATTCAAGTATAAAGGCAGGCCCCGCAGGGCCTGTAGTGCGGGGTGTAGGCGTGCTCTCCAGTGAGGCTTTGAGTCAGCTACGTCTGTTGACAACCCAGGGAAGTGCTCACCTGGTTGTTTCTTTATCTGCCCACCAGCTTTTCATTCCCGTTTTTTCTCCAGCGCTTTATGCCAGGTAAAAGTTCATTAACACAGACACCATCTAAATTTATTGTAAACGCCTCTTCTTCATTCAGCTCACACTTAACCCTGTGTCTTAAAACAGGCTCTCTCTCACAGTTATCTTTAGCCCTGTTCCCACTAGTTTTTCCCAATCTTCCATTGTTGCGTTGGTATTAAACTTTAAAATCTAGTTCCATAAGCCAGAAACTGACCCACAAGAAACCAGTCAATTTTAGAAATCAGAACTTTCCAATCCAGTTTTATGGATAGTCTTTGGCTTGTCAGTAGACTTACCTGTGTGTGTTAGCTCGTTAAACTATTCAGTATGTTTCCCATGTACTAACCCTGGCTGGCGTTGTTTGTTTTGATTTAATTTTAGTCCTGCCACATTGGTATCTGCGATTGGACAAGAAGCAGGAATGACCACACTCAAGACAAATGTCTGAATACATTTGTGAACATGAACAATGAATACATTGGATTTGTTCACCGCTGTGAGAATGTTTCTACCATTTGTTTTACCCGCTTTATACAGCTGACAGTCAAACAGTTTAATCAAAAGTGTTACTGCTGGTCCATTCCCAATTCTTAAAAACAAAGTGTTAATGGAGTCTTTTACGGTACACTCTTTTATCAGAAAGGATCCACCAAAAACAACACAGTAAATCCTCTTGTCTAACAGTACAATGTAATGTGGCCAGTTTCTATAATGCAGCTATAGTGATGTCTCATACCGGCTGCAGCTGCTATAGCTTAGTCAGGCTTTTTCCCCTCCATTTGCTTGGTGCTTTTGGATCTCCTTTATACCTGCGGGCTGCCCTTCCTGTCCAGAAGTCCCTTCTGAACGCACTGGATTCACCAGGGGTAAATGGCACCTAATGAAACATCTATTTATGTATGCAATAGTGCCTGTATATCTTTTTATAGAGCCTTTGTTTAAGGATATGACCCAAAGATACAATGTATCTGCCCCTGTGCTGCTGTGACATTCATGCTAATGGACTTTTTATTATAAAACACATCATGATTGACTCGCTGCTCCTTTGAGTATGACATTTTCGCTGTCTTTGAATTCACATTCATAATTTTCTTTTAAAATAAGTCTCCAGCTCATTAAAATTGTGTTGGGCTCAAATTAGGCATCAAGCCTTGATTTGCTACTTAGTCTCTACTGAAGTGTAATCATATGAACTTCTTACTTGATTGCTGGAAAACATATCTGTGATAGGTACAAAACACCACAAAAACCACTAAATATGGTGGAGGTAACATTGTGAAGCAAGATGGTGCTTGTGCTGCATATTATTAGTGCTCAGAGGAGTTCCCAGAGGTATCCATAAATGCATATCCGCCGTGTGCGAGCAGCAGCAAATGTTTCTCCTTCAAACACCCTACAAGGGGAGATCGATCTGCGACTGGGAGTGGATATTTTCTATATGCTGTAGTTATTGGTGGGGGAGGATAGTGTTTCCAGTGGTGAGATGGGGGTATAGAGGTCATGTGTCGTGTGGTGCTTACATCTTTGAGGCAGCCCATGAAGTTGTTGCTGACAGGAGACCCAGGCAGGTCCGCCGTGTTCAGACTGCCCCCGATGTAGAAGAGGTCGTCGGATCCCAGCATGGTGTAGTCCTCCTGGGTGTAGCCTGTGGTGGTCAGGATCCCATCGACCAGGATTGTCACCTGGAGAAAAGGTAACGCAAAGGTATTAAGCACATTTGCTCTACAAGGATTTGATAAACATTTCTGAGAATTTTTTTTAATACTTTTCCGTGAGTATGGGTGTTAAGAGGTGGCAAAGGCAGTTTAGTAAACCAGGCCTGTCCAGGGGCTTACAACATGGGTTTTAAAACTGTTTTTTATATACAGTAGGCTGTTGCAACCAATACTCACATATTCCTTGCCATATATGGAATTTAAATTTAATATAAACTTTATAATAAGGTATAGCATGACTATAATGGTGGAGCTGAAGTTGGCTACTTTGGCTACTTTGTGTTAGCGGCAGAGGACTACCTATAATACCACACCGGACCTCAGACCTTCATTTGGACATTTTGTTTTGTTGTCAACTGGCAGCTAAGACGACACCGGGAGCTGAGGCGTATACAAATGTTTCTGATGCGTGAGCTGATTAGAACGTCTGCAAACTCCAACCAAGATAATTCAATTTTCAGTTGAAGCTGCGTCCACCTGCTGCATATGAAGTGCTTATTGTTTATTCGCCAGATGAAGTCTGGGGAATATTATAAAAATAATGTAAATGTAATACTTAAAATAATACGGTAACAGAAATGGACAGGGAGAACATTTTTACTGACAAAATTGCTGATTTGCCCATGTTTATGTGTGATTAAGGATTGTCTGACAAGGGCATTGTTTATTTATTTACTTAATCAATTACAATTAAAGTAAGGTACGCAATAGATAGATTGTCTCCATTGGTAGCAGAAATATTTGTTTAATGGCCGACTATTCAGGACTGTGCTCAAAAACAAACAAAAGAATACTGTCGCCGTTCACTTGCCAAGCGATGTGTTTGACATTATCTCCATGCTTGTGCCAGCAGCACCTGTTTTGTTCCATTGTTCTCACTCTGTTGTTTTTTTAGTTTATATTTGTTCAGAAATAATTTCTATATAACCTAAAAATAGTGGTTTATTCCAAGCAGGCACATTATTCCACCACAGTAGTTGTATGTAAACATATTAGAATAAACCCCTGAATAAACCCCTGCATCAGTCCTCCTGTATGTATCAATTTATGTAAAAGGTACAATCAACATTGCTGTACATTATTTTGTATTGAACAAACAAATATGAAGGATTGCAGCTAAATTTTATGATCACCTGCACTCCCTTAAAGCGGGTCCCCAGTGTTGGACGTAACTCGGTTACAAATGCCACTGTTCATTGTAATAAGATTAGATTTTTTTTAACAGTTGCTGTAGTTGGTTTAGAAAGCAAACATCCCACAGAGCTTCAACATTCTGCTTCATAAAAACAGCCTTTAACAGTTGCAGGAGCAGTGATGTGTCAAGATGTTGTAAATTCCAGCCTGTTAAAATAAGACACTTGTTCTTTATGACAAAAGTAATGCAAATCCCATACTGTCGCCCCTTTTTTGACATTTAACTACATTTCTTTCGGTATATTAGATCTATACCTGCATGTCGACATGTACTGTACATATTATAGATTTGCTTAAAATGTCCCAACATTTGGTATTCAACATATCTTTATCCATAGAAGAAATGGACAGAGCAAGTTCAGATGTATTTGATTTGTACCCAGAGGCAGATGTGTAAAGTGGACTAAGGCACAGGTCTGATATAATGTTTGAAAAAGCATTTTAGGGAAGTAAAAACATCTTTATGGAAACAAGCAGAGTTTGCACCCATGAAACAAACACCACATCCAATGACAATGATTATTGGTTGAAGCACTTTTCTTGGTCTCAGGTTTCTGAACACATGTTGGCTGCAATTTATAGAAGTCCGACAGAAGGAACTGGCCTAATTATTTCTCACTTAATTTGTTGAAGTCAATCTCTTCTTAATTTAGGATCTTCAAGGCAATTGGAAGAGCTGCAGCTCAAGGGTTCACTAATCTCAGCTGATCCCTGCTGCAGATATATTAGCGCTGGCGGAGTGAAGTCAATACACCATAAATATTTCTTTCACAGACAAATTTAGAACCAAAGAGATAGGAATGCTTTTACACACAATTAATTTGAGATGAAAGATATCAAGGTGGCGAGACACATTTCTGTTACAACAAAATAAACAGATTCGCCGTCATCAAAGCCACAGTTGGAGTGAAAGACTGAATAAGACTAAAATAAGAGAAACACAAATACACCAGTTTCCATGACGATGAGCCTTCAGCTGACATGGCCACAGCTAAACTTCACAAATGTGGAGGCCAAAAAATATATCTGTGAGAAATCCCTGATATATTTTTCAGATATCATGTACAGCTCAAACAAAAAGTAGGAGGTAATTAATATTGTTCACAGGTAAACAATATTCCAATCCAGGCCTCTTATGTATACATATCAACTTCCCAGCTCGTGTCCGATCAGAACGCACAGATATTCCTTCAAAATAACTAAATCTAAAACACAAATCACATCAATTTAAAGCAACTAATGACGGTCTCAGAAACACTGAGTCGATAGGTCATAGTCATATATTATGAATTATAGATATAAAGGGAAACAGAATTGTATATAATGCCAGGTATTGAGGGTTTGGACTACACTTTGAATCAAATACAGTTACATAGTATTTTTGTATATATTAAGTATTCTAGTATTTGTACCGGATTGTGTGCATGTTCTGTTGAAATTCTGTTCAACATTTCGCACATTTAGATTTCAATATAAATGTTCCTTTAGATGAATAGAACGTGATCATTAGGGCTCACTTATGAAATCAGCAAACACCTCGGCTGACCTGCCACAGCTCAGAGTGTGCCATGCCTCTATAATCAGCTGATTAGTCTATTCAAAACTCATGGCTTTTAACAGCAACATACGTATAGCTGAGTAGATAGTATAGACGGCGGTAGAGAGCAAGTGGTGAAAAGGTGGTACTGCACCCTAAAATCCCCAGAAAAGAGACGGCGCTCTTGAGCAAGTGGTGAAAGGTGTTACTGCACATTGTTTTTCAAAGAGTTTCAATGAGTTAGCTTCTGTTGGCCTGTGTGTGTGTGATAATGTTTCACAGTTGTCTAAAGTGATTTATGATCACGGTGTATTCTAAAACAAGCAGTTAGGTCAATAAACTAATTAATCTACAGGTCCTCCCTGTTAACGACACGTGTGTGTGTCTGATAGTGATGAGCGGTTGGGAGGGCGTACTAGCAACAAAATCAGAATAGGTGGGAGGTCTATTACAAGTTTTTCAATGGTTCAAATGTATTAAATTAGTGAAAATGATTCCAAAGATCCAACATTATGTCTCCAAAGTCACAATCACATATCTTCGGATTTGGAAGAAGTCTACAGTCTGTTTGACTCAGCGACAGTGGATCAGATCTGTAGGGGACCAGACAAAAGGCTGACCTGTCCATAACATCAGGTTGAGCTTCTCTATTCAGCAACTGTCAGACATCGATTTGTGTCTTGTAGAGAAACACTGGGCATCACTGGCTTCGACCATGGACATTGCAGGGGCCGAAATGTACATCTAACAAACTTCAACAAACAAATGGCCTTTATATCAAGGAATTGATTGATGCGGCTGTCTTGGTGAGACTTCCTAAGCTGTGGTCTCTTGAGGGTTGTCTTTCTCGCCTCACACAGCAGGTGCGTCTGCTTTCTTGGTCTTGAGGCAGCGGTTTTGAATTGGGCAGCTTTAATTTTTTTCTTTGGGATTTCTACCAACGTTTTTTGATTTAGCTTGTTAAATCTTGAGGAGGTAATTGTAATGCAATGCACGTTTGGTTAAATATTATGTCATAGTGGCCCTACCTTCTGTCTCCTCCGCAAACAGTGTGAGATCCTTGTAATGAAGGAAATCTATGCACTGCAGGCCATCTAAATAAAGAAAAGCTATTATGATTGTGCTGTATCTCAATAATATTGACAGCGCCACCTGCATGTGAAGGCCAGATCCCACCAGATATCTGAAGCTAATCAGAGCGGAGCCTGGTTTGTACTGTGATGGGAGACCTCTGGGAGAATGCTAGGGGCCACAGTGGGGCAGTTCCAGCTGTAAAGTGCCAAACTGTCGTTGTAAGGCACTTTATATTAACCCACATTACCAAGAAAGAGTCTGGTGTGTGAGTGAATTATTATTATCATCATAAATGCAGTAAGCAGTGTACTGCAAAAGTACTTTTGCTCATTGTCAAGCGTTCTTCTTGATTTGATGATTTCCCCCACGCTGAAAGGGGGTTGTACCCGCAACTTGAGAACATGCAGCGGAATTTACTCAGACCATTTAAAATTCTATCTGTTTATTTTGAAGTTTATTTTGTAAACAGCAGTAGCATTCATCAGAGCATAAGCAGCAGGTAGCAGAAGCAGATACAAAAGCAGATGCAGAGCAAAGCAGGGCAGGAAAAAAATCAGAAACCCAAACCATAAAAGCGTGATTACAATTGACCCAAACAATTAAATTTAGCATGATTAATAAGTCTCAGTGAATGAATGAATTTACCCAAGTTATCACAATTAAAATAAACTATCAAATTTAAATCATTCTGTACACAAATGCAAATGTATTTCATTAAAATCATTAAAACTATTCATTCATTATATTAGCTTAGCAAACAATTCACATGATCTAAACCATTATCAATAATGCATATTCATAAAACAGTCTTTACTCATAGCAATCGAATACACTAGCACTTAAACACAACTCATGATTAACATTACACCAGTATTGCACTCCAGTTCCAGAATTCTACAAGAAAAGACAACAAGACTCATGCAGCTGGTTTTGTTGTTATAGGTTTCCACCATTTTCACACAAATATTGAATGTAATCTTTTTTTCTTTTTTACAGTTTGCTGAAGCCTATCTCCTTAAGAGTCTTGAGCCACATAGAAACCTCTCCAAAGGAATTGATAAAGACTTGTTTCTAAAATGTTCTATATGCAAAAGGTCTATCCATCCTGAATGCACACCATTGGAGACACCATTTGGGATGTTTAGTCTTTAAAAAAATAAAT